ATGAGACTTTATGAGACTTCATGAGACTTCAAAGACTTCAGAGACTTTATGAGACTTTATGATAATTCATAAGACTTCAAAAGACTTCAAGAGACTTCAGAAGACTTCAAGAGACTTCAGAGGACTTCAAAAGACTTACAAGACTTCATGAGACTTCACGGCTGAAGTCTCTGCTGATTCCCCCTTGGTAAAAATTTATTTAACAAATCTATACAAAAGAAAAGGTTATAGATTTTATTTAGAATTCTATCCACAATTTTATTCACGTACTTAAGAAATAATTTCAAGTCACAATTGAACATTAGTTTTAAAACAGCTGATGATTCAATATCAACAACTCTTAATCGTATTCTTTTAAAATTTTACACCTAATTTACATGTATTAAAAGGGTGTGGGCAAGGGGGAAGAAGCAGATTTCAAGATTTCCAAAGATTTTAGGTCCCAAATCTGCTTTTTCCTCCCTGGACTAATCAAATTAAATAGACCTTTATCATCGATTATTTTATTTGATTTTTTTTTAGTGCAAAATCATCAAGTAAATGATGCTTATCGTTTGTTCTCCAGGATCGTCAAGAAATCAAACCCAATATATACTTCTATGATTAATGGTTAAGCTTCTGTTTCTAATTATCTTATTATAGAATTTCTTTTAATAACTAGGTCTTATTACAAATCGACTAGCGGAGAAAGCGCTTGATTTATTCGATGAGATGACCATTGAACCAGATGATGTAACATTAGTTGTTTTACTTAATGCATGCGTTAAAACTGGTAATGAACGAGCTATTAAAGTTGGAAGAAAACTCCTTCGAAACATGCCAAGTCATCATCAAAATAATATAGTCGTTTTAAACTCAGCAATAAACATGCTGATGAAGTTTGGCGATATTCAAGCCTCTGAAAGTATTTTTAATTTAATTAAGAACAAGGATATTTACACTCACGGCGTGATGATGAAAGGTTTTTGATTTCTTGACTCATTTTCTTTTTCTTATGTTCTGAAATTAAATTCAGGTTATGCTGAAAATAAACAGTTTGATAAGGTTTTGAATTTATATAAACAGATGAATTTCAAAGGAGATCATGTTATTGACATAATTGTTTTAAATGCATGTGCACAAGATCCAAATGATCTAGCTATGCACATTGGAAAACGAATTCTTCGCGACAAATACCAAATACTTGCCCGAATAGAAATGTTCTATTAACTTCAGGATTAAACATGTTCATGAAAATCGGCAACGTGAACTCGGCGAAAACTCTTTTTCGAGTTATAAAAAAAAGAGATGCTATCGCTTATGATGCTCTTATGCAAGGCTATCGAATGAATGATCAACCATTGAAATGTTTAGAAGCTTTCGAAGAATTGAAATAAGACAATTTAGTTCCTGATGAGATAATATTTAACATACTCTTTGGCGCATGTTCAGATATTGGTATTTTATCAAAATGTAGATCCATTTTTAATCAAATACCTTCACATTTCTAAAATCGATAACGTCTTCAAAATGCATTAATTAATATGTGGGTAAGTGATATTAAAATAACTTCGTCTGGAATTGAAATAGCTGCTTTTAATTAAATATTTTACAATACTTTTCCAAATGAAGGAAAGACTTTTCAATATGAATGATACAAAAACTTATAAATTATTTTGACAATTGACAAGTTCTTAGGAATAGTTGTCAAATACTTAAATTTATGCAGAATACAAATGCTGTTCATGATAGGAATAATAAACGATTCGCATGTTAAAATTTACATTAATTATTATAAACCAATGGATTTTGTTACCGAAACATGTAAATCTTGATTTAATTTTGAAATAAAGACTCTTCTTCATCATTAACGAATATGATATAAAGCTGAATTGCTTCCAGAATTTACAAAACTTGTACCACTCATCTTAACAGCAGCTTCTTTTTTTTCTTATGAAAAATATTGCTATTCATAAGAATCTAGAAAATAAAACAACTCGTCATCTGATACGCATCTCGAAACGTTGATTTTAAGCAGTCTAGGGCATTGAAGTTTGAAAAAACACGTTTCGACCAGTCAAACGTTCTTAACCAAGAGGATCAAAATAAAAACAATTTTTCTAACAGAGATCTCATTCTCTATCCGTCGAAATCTATCCGGTAAATAAGGACGAGAAGATTAAAACAAGGGTAATTTCAATAAATAGTCGACGAACAACTAAACTAAATATGAACTATTTTCTTTTTTGAAAGTTACGTTTTCAATTCATAGACGAATAGTACTTTGAAATTAACCTTTGATAACAATTCCAAAATTAGTTAAAAGATTTTTAACAGAGAAAAAAAACACATTTTCAAATGTTTTACTAATGGCTCGACTTTTTCACGTGTTTTATATGTCATGTAGGGAATTTAATTCATAAACATGTCATTTAATAAAAGCTTGATAGTTGAACAAGTTCTTTTTACTCTCAATATTATTCGTTACGATTATTTTCTCGCTAGCGTCGCTTGAGATTCCGCTATTACTTGAAGTTTTCAATCATTTTATGCCAAAGACGTAGAAAATTATGAAACTAAAAACAAAATGAAACCAATATAGGTCAGTCATCTAAGACACTCTAATGGAGGAGAGATTTGTAAATCTCTTTTTGAAGAAATTTCATCAAATTAAAGTTAAATCAACCATTTGAAAGGATTTTTATGCTGGGCTTATTTCTAGTGGAGCACTGGACATCGTTCCAACGATATCTTACATTTACTCGAGTTCTCGAAATCCGATGACTATTGAGCAGCTTCAAATCAAAAAAGAATAAACAAAGTAATAAATATATATCATGTTTTCGAGCGTTCATCTCATCCATCGTATCCTTTTTGTTGTTTGCTTAGGATTGTTTTGAAGTAAAGCAGACAACTCAAAATTCATAAAATGCGATTTGTCACCTCTTTTTTATTCTGAATTCAAAATATAACTATAGTTGTATCTCAAAACTTATTCATGAAATAATACATTTTAAATTGAATGTTTTCAACCAAAGATAAATTTCCTTTTTCATCAATATGATTAATTTTAAATTTGTGACAAAGATGTTCTCTATTAACTTTCGTTAATAGCAGATGCCAGCTCAGTCATGAACTGATAGAAATAAAAGTACGGGCTCGGCTGTTATACATACATCACCTAGCTCATAATTATTTACGTAAGACTTTAGTGATATTGCATTGAGAAAATCTTCGTTTCTAATAAAGAAATGACTGAACTATGGGCACAAGAATATTATGCTCATGTTGTGAATCAGCAATGTCAATAATATACAATCTACTAGTTTTCGTCGAACAACCGATTTATCAGTTTAAAGAGTTTCCTTGCAGGCGAAGATACTTCGTCATTCTTCAAAGTGCTTACTCTGAAGATCAGAAGTTCACAACCTACCCACATAGAAGAACGAATTTATTAGTAGTAGGAGAAATTCTTTGAAAAATATATATATTAGTTAAAAATCGAAAATAGTCTGAATCTGAATCGAGTAACTATTTTGTTGTGTATGGCAACGCCTGTCGATCTATCTAAATAGTTCATATGTAGTATTTTGTATTTAGATAAATATTTTCAATTCGACTTACTAATATTCAATAAATGAAATCTATCGAGTGTTGTATCGTTCAATCGTATATTTCCTCTACTGAGAAAAATATTTGAAATTGAAATTTAATTTTTTTTTTCAAAAATCTTTTCTCAGAAGAAAAATTTATCAATATTTCAAACGAAGTTATTCGAATTTGAAACATTGAATGTGTTGCTTGAGCCACTTAACTTATTCTTTATTTTTCTTCAAATATAGGGCAAATCTGGTTTGGTGGATCAAGCATTTAATGTATTTAAATCAGTTTCTAATCCTAAAATAATAACATATACTTCAATGGGTAAATAACAAAACATGTATTTTTAAGATTATTTTCATAATACTGTAGTAAATGCATTCGGACTTAATGGAATGGATGCGGAAGCTATTGACTTATATAGGCAAATTCCAACTGATGAACGTAATGAAGTTTCACATATTTGTACTTCAAATGCTTGTTCTCATTCGGCACTTCTCCATGAAACTCAAACTATTTTCAATGATATTGACAGTAAAACTGAAACAATTGTTACTATTATGGCTTTTTTATTTCAACAATAAATGATATTAAATATAATAATTTTCTTCTATACTTAAGGTTGATTGTTTGAGTCGGTTGTTTTTATTCGATGAAGCACAAAATTTGATTGATAATTATGAAAAGTCACATAGTCCCAGTGTTATTATATATAGTAAGTATTTATCTTATAGTTAATGGTTGATTGATTATTTGCTTCGTTATTTATTTCAGTGACCATTCTATCTGGTTTACGTAATCAACGATAATCGAATGAAATGTGTATTTCTGGCCGATAAACATTTTCTTGTATCCAGTGCAATTCTTCTTGCAAATGTCTATTCATCTTTAGATGAACATCAACAAGGAAGAGATTTTCGATCAAATCAAATACGAGAATTAAAAGAAAAAGTTAAAGAAGGATTATCGTGGACTGAAGTCAATGGAGAAATAGTGGTAAAAAGTTTTGTTTGATGAACATAAATATAGTAAAGACATTTCACAAATTTGTGTCTTTTTTAGCAATTCACGGCTCATGATCATTCTCATCCAAGATCATCAGAAATTTATGATGAACTCGATCGATTATCTGCTGAATTAATTGAACATGGTTATAAATTTGACTCAAGTTGGATAACTCGGCCATTACAAGAATATGAAAGTGTTCAATCGGTGTAATGTGGTCATAGTGAGAAATTAGCGATTGCATTTAACTTCATTCAACGACCTATTCCATCAATTACTCAAGTCACAAAGAATCTTCGTATTTGTGGCGACTGTCGTAAGTTAATCATATTGGTGTCTATGATTTTGAATAGTTCATCGTTGCTTTTTCTTTTCAGAAGTAGCTACGAAATTAATCGCAAAAATTCGACAACGTAATATAATTATTCGTGATGCTAGTCGTATTCATCATTTCCATTCGAATGGAAACTGTTTATGTCAAGGTCATTTTTGAGTTTTTTTATCGAAAACTCAAAGCTCAACTATCGAATAAATTTTATTGTTTATTTATCAGCAACTGAGACATATCTCAAAGAATTTTCGCTCAATTTATTCGATGAAACATTCTTGACTTTACTAAACTGTTTACTTTATTTTTTAAATGAAACTTTTTCTAGTCAGAATAAATCTTCCAAAGATACTAGCAACTAAATGTGACTATCTGTTCTTCTTTTCTTTGAACTTCGAAGTAATTATTCGTCTATATTGATTAAGTATGTCTTGAAAAGAATATTTTATCCGAACAACAAAACGATATATGTTTATATCATAAGAGTTATGAAGAAAGTCAATCATTTTTTTTTTATTCGTTTTGCTTTTTTTTGTTTAGAAGAAATTGATACGGCTAGATTGGTCTCGGTGTTAATGATTCACCAGGTTTTTAATATTTTTCATATTCTTCATTCTAATGATCTCAACTAAATAATATTAAATTAGATAAACCATCATCATGTACCAAACAATTGTTTATTGATTTTGTAAATAATAGACAAACAAATTCAAACCAATATGGTATTCAAACATTGCCATTAGGTATAGCTAGAAGATTAAATTATATGATGTTTGAAATATTTCTTTTCAATAGATGCAAATTTCGATCAAATATTACAAATTGAACAAAATATTTTTAATAAGAATGAAGTTAATGATAAAAAATTTCTAGTCAGAGCTCTTTCAAAAATGATACACTTTCCAAATCAGCCAAATCCAGTAAGTGTTAATAGATAATCATCTAAAGAAAATACCTCATCAAGCAAAAAACAAGATATTCTGTTCAGATAATTTAGGAAAGTCAGTTTTGGTGTGGTCTATTGGCATCATTTTTTAAACTTTTTGTTTAGTTCCAGTGCAATGTCTGTGTGAATTTAACGAATTCTTTTAAATGTGATTGGTGTTTTGAATTTTTTACCAAAAATATTTTGTGTAAGGATCCGAAAACACAAAGCTAAAGTAGAATTTGTTTTTCTTTATTTTCTATATGGCTAGATAGAGCTGATAAAGAATAGTGTATGTTTTTATTTTTTTGAGTAAGTTTGTAGGGGAAAATTCTCAATTTTTTTTCTCGATTTACCGACAAATTTTCGATTTTTTTATTTGGTTTAAATTCTAAAACTATTTGTTTTGATTCAATATAGAAAACTTATTTATAAATAACTTTCCTAGATTCAGTTTTCTATTCTGAATAAAAACAAATAGTTTTAGAATTTAAACCAAATAAAAACATACCGATTCTTCATCAGCTCTATCTGACCATATATAAAATAAAGAAAAACAAATTCTACTTTAGCTTTGTATTTTCGGAATCTTACATTGTTGTAAAAAGAAAACATTCAAGTCATTTTGTTTGCATTCAGTCCTTTTACCCAGTTACTATCTGTGTAAAAATTGAGCAATAAAAAAAACCAACCGTTAGCATTTAGAAGAAATCTATTCTTTTTTTGTTTTCACTCGATTATTATTTTTATTATTGTATCCTCCTTTTAGTAGTTAGAAAAATGATATTTCGTTTTCTTTCATCGCTCACTTGTCCCTTTTACGTGCTATTGTATTTCAATTTTCTCATTTTTGGTTCTCAAAATGACAATATTTTGCTTTTTTTATGTTATTCATTTAACTCTTACTCTTTTTAATGTAGTTCTCTTATTGTTCAACTTTCATGAAAGAATGTTTTCACTAAAAACATAAATGATGCATAATATTAAAATTTCTTGTTCTATTGTCGAACAAAGTCATTCATATATTTAATGTTTAACCTATATTTATCGTACAAATCTCTCCCGGAACTACGAGAAAAAAATTGTTCGAATTGAAACTAAAAATCTCAGTCAAATTTCCAATGACGCTTAACAAACTATTATAAATCAGATTAACTGAAGTAAAAATTCATGAAAGATGACCAAAAACAAGTGATATGTGTCATGTTAAATAATCGAAAAACAAGTATTAGATTTTATGTAAATGAGTTATGTCGAATGAAGTAACTCATTCTATTGTTGATGCCAAAGATCTTTCTGAAGATTTATTCGATGCTGATTTTAGAATTTTTATTTTTCATACGAATAAAAGAAAATAATGATTAATATTTATATTCGAACGCGTAAATAAGTAAATAAATCCAACTAAAATAATAAAGTTTTAAATGACATTTTTATATATTTATATATTACAATATAATTACTAGATTAATTATATTTGTTTGATTGCATTATATTTTAATTTTTTCTATTTTTAACAATTATGATACACATATTTTTTAGAAAAAATCGACTGTTTTATCTGTCGCTTGCGAACAAAATTTTATTTCAAAAAAATGATTCTTAATGATTTCTGAATAAAAAATATTCACAGAATTTATATAAATAATCATATTCATTTATTTAATTATAACAGAAAGAACTTTATTAAAACAAAAATAAAAATGAATTGTGAGAAATATCTTTTTTCTTGTAGAACAAAACTGGTAGATATTTATTTTAGAATCGCAAAAATAACCGATTATTATTTATTGATGAAAATTGAAAATTCTTTTTTACTAAAATTATCAGTAAAAAAATGCTTTGCAAAATAGAATCTATTAAAAAAATTTTCGGGTATATATGTGCATGTATCGTTCTTCAGAAGTTTTTTCTATAAGAACCTCTGTGAGGCTTTTGTGAAGTCTTGACGACGGCAGATAGACTACCAAAAAGTCAAAGATTGAAAATAAATTATTTAAAAAAAAGATTATTCAATTCTAGAATTGATATTGCCTAACATTTTAAATAGCGAAGAAATCTGAAACACACAAAATGATCACATTAAGTTTTAACACTTTTCTTCTCTAAAATGTTTAAAAAAAAAGAATTTTCGAGTAAATGGATCATTGATCATCAATTAGAATGAATGCCTACGAAAACATCAATAAAAAATTGTTTGTTTTTGTTTCATATGGACATATTACAGTCACCCATTATCAACAAACATCATTAGCCTGACCAAAAGACTTATCAGTCGACTTGGATTGATATAGATCATGATTTTAGAGAAATCGTTTGCTTGTTTACCTGATATACTTTAAAATATGGTGTACTCATTATAAAATAGTATGCGTTGTAAGCAAAAAACTAAACAGTATAACGTTATTTTTTTTTTTCGTATCCAGGTTCAAAAAAGGACGTCTACTATCCTTGAGTATTATTATAAAATCAAATAACCAGTGCATTTGTGACAAAACACTTTTCTCTAATTTAACGAGATATAAATAAAAAAAAAAGAATAAATATGATCTTTTTTTTAAATAGAGTCCCCGTTGTCAGCTGAGATTTATGTTTATCTATTAATTATATTGATTACATAGAATCTATTCGTATTCTATATTATTCAGTTGACTTTTTTTTTCGCCCACCGACTTTAATAAGCATTTTTATTTGTTAACCAATGATTTCTTTCAGTTTGTGTCTTTTTCTCTTCAAACATAGGATTATTTGCCAAAATAATGGGTGTGGGTGTCTTGCTGTGACTGTGAATGACGAAATGATTATATCCCCACTCACACCCACACCCTATTGTAATGACATAAACCTACTTTCTGCTGCTGGTTTTAATTTAGCATCTAATTCGTTAACATCTTGTCTTGTCTATGACTCAAATTCATCTTTTTCAAATTCATATAGTCCCTAGCAATTAAAATTATTCTTATTGGAAAAAGAACAAACATTTCACATTGAAAACAGTAGTACCAATCAAGAGAATGTACCGATTTACTATAGAAGAAAGAAAACGATTAAAAAGTGCGTCGCATATAAAAACATAAAACATGATTAATATTCTGTTTTATTTAAATGATAGCGATGATTTTAATAATTGTCGTTGTTTTTCTCTTGTTGAAGAAAATCTTATTGAGTTTTGAATATATTTTGACACTGAGAAATGTCTTTTATCTCAATATAGTCAATGTTCTAGAAATAATGCATGTGGATTTTTATCTTATTCATTTAATGATGAATTTGACTTGTTGACAATTTATTCGATGTCAAGCTTCAAATGATAAATGTTCACAATTTCTACATATTTGTCTTCAATCTGTATATGATTCACATTCTATTTATTATTCAATATCAATATCTTGATTATGTTCATCGTTGCTTGGTAGGGAAACAAAATAGAACTGACAGATGAAATATTTGGATAATTTTTATTCTGTTCAATGATGATAAATTTGTATTTGATTATCGTTAATAATATTTAAATTCAACGCGACCATAAATAATTTAATCAAATTATTGAATTGTATTAATAATAGATGATGAAAGTTATTACTCGTCCTGGAACTTCTTCATCAAATAGTCAATATTATAAAGCGATTCAAATAATTATTAGTATACCAAGGGCATCCGTGTAAGTCACAAATTCAGCGATACCCACATCCTCTTCGACGAAAAACGTTTGCAATGACCCTTGCCCTAATTTTTTCGAGAAAATTCTTTCGTACATATCAAATCCGCTGATTCCAAATGTACTTTTTTTCTTTTATTGAATACTTTTCCAAAACCAGAAAAATTGAAAAATACCAGTGAAGTCGAGGATTGATTGCGCTAACAGAGATTAGAGAGAGATAGAGTAGATAGAAGGAAATTCTAATAACATTTGAGAAAGTTTGGAGGTAGGATATGAGTGGATTGTTTACTTTACGAGACTAGGCGTTTAGGCGATACAGTAGAGCATATTATTCATAAGCTAAATGTGCAAATTAAAAAATATTTTTCAACCATTGCATAGAGCTTGGCTTAGAGATTTCGTCTGTTGGATTGTAACTAACTTATTTATACCATTAGACAGACTATCTGTCGAAGTATATTTTCCTCGAAAATATATATATGAGTCCCACAAACTAATCAACGTATTTTTTCGCTCGAAGAAAATTTATTTTTCGAATATCGAGTATTTTGATTAGATTTTATTGTTAAATCAAAACACTAGTGATTAAATGCTTCTTTTTTGTTCTTTTTCTGTTTCGCTCTATCTTATAAGACATTCCATTTGCCTGATCGTCGATAAGCTGAAAGAACTTTATGTGCTCGTCGTCGAATATATTGATTTGAATCTCGATTGAATTTTTCAAGTGCATCTACAACTTTCCATTCCATATGATCAGGTGAACCATCACATAATGTATGTAGCACCTTAAAATTGATCTTGATTATTCAAAATAGTTAATTACGAAACACTTACTTGTTCTCGAACATTATCAGCTGGATCATCAATCATTTCCATTACACGTTCCCAAAATACATCAATATCTTCTTTAACACGACATGGACATATTTCTTTTAATGCTCGTTTTCGTACAATAGGATCGACATGAGTTGTCAATACTAATATTGTTTTTATATCTTCGGTTTCACGACACAGACGAAGAGCGTCTTTACTTGGTAAATTATTCATTTCAAGTTTGTCCAATGACGATGACATTTATGTTACATTATACACTACTATGAATAATGCTGACATGAACACCTTTCATTGATTTATATAGAAGTTGCTTATATTGCATTGAATTGTGCAATATCAACATAGAGGTAGATATTACACAATTCCATCATGTGTTTCATTGTTATTTCTTCATTACTTTGATGTCTTGTCGAAATTACATTGAAACAATGTTTCTAATATAAGATTTTGTCAAGACTAGAAATGTAGACTTAAAAAAAGTCTTGTCTAAATAATTATTCACTAGAAAACAATCAATTTTATTTTTCTTGTATACAAATCATGCTAATGAAAAAAGGTTTCAGATATTGATATACTATCGAGCAAAATTGAAGTTTCATATAGACAGAAAAGTTTTTTATAACTAAAACAAATAAGTTTTGTTGTCATAAATAATGAAAATCTAGAAATAATTATTCAACCACTTTTGTTATTTTTAAGCATTATATATTAGAGTACTTCATAGATTTGATTTTTCGTACTCAAATTCATACTCTACTCTTTTCAATAATTCTTAATGTATATGTACCATTTTCTTTATTCTGATTTATTAAAAATGCATCCGACGTGGCAAACATCAACAACTGTCGTTAAGCCTTGCATCTCTAATCACTATAATACTATATTAGTGTTAGTTTTCATACTTGTGCCGTGCACTTACTAATATCTTTGACACCTATTCAAGGTGTTGCTGCATTGGCGTTTAAACTGTCAGAAGTTTAGGTGTTAATAGTTTGAATTGAATTGTTTGTTTTTTTTTGTAACAATATAAAAATTTTAGCAAAATATATCTTACAAAGTAACATCTCTAACAATAAATAATACAAGCTAAAGAACACTGCTGCAAATGTCGAAAATAAATATCGATGGTGTATTGCTAAAAACCATCTACAAGCAATTATTTGAAAGGATGCAATTCATAGTTTGGGACTGAAGAGCTCATTTTATAGTGAAATTGAATTTCATGGTGGTTAGAATTCTCTAAAAATGTTTTCATCACGAGATATTAAATATTCGAAACATGATCGTATTTCACAAAAACGATCACAATATCGACTTGTCTGCAACATTTATTATCTCAATAAGAAAATCTTCTTCTTATACGGAAAGTATCACTTAGAAATGTTTCTTCACTAAATGAATTAACAGATATATTGAGCATGATCTTATCATTGAATAAAAAAACAATATTCTTTTCACACATATTTTTACCAACCGCTCTTTTCATCTAAATAAAATTCATTATACTCAATTTTCCCACCACTTGATCTTATGATTGATGATCTCATCTTCATGTATTATAGTTTAAAAATAAAGATCAAAGACATAAGAGCATTACTAATAAAAATATTTCATAAATTCAAGTTTTTATTTTTTCTACACGTGCTGAACGCGTGAACATTCAATGTGAGAAAAATAAATTAATTTTCGTGTTGGAACTATCAGTATTTGCCATCTGTCATTGTTGATCAATCTGATTATATTCTATTCAAAAAGAAAAGCATCGACAGCTGAATTATAAGCAGTAAAGGAAGAGCGAGAAAGAACGAAAAAAAAAAAAAAAGTTTTTTTTTTTTGATCGTATTTCTTCTTCCTCTTTCACCTTCAAATCGAAAAGAGAAAAAGAAAAATAGCGAATGACCTCTTGCACTCATTTCAATGCCAATCCATCATCATCATCATCAATGAATACAATATTCATATTCATATCTTTTCTTACTTGTGATGTTGTATGACGACAAAATTTACATGTGATTTTAATCGACTTATGTATCTTCTTGATACAAATAATCTTGAAGAAGCTCGATTATTACTTAAACAACAAACTTTATTAATACGAAATAATCTCTTTGATAAATTGGATAATGATAATAATACATTACTTCATCGTTATGTTCTTCGTAATCAAGAAGATGCTGTACATTTATTATTAGAATATGGTGCATCAGTTTATTCATTGAATAAATACGGATGGTTACCAATACATTTAGCTGCTTATTGTGGACAAAATAAAACTATAGTCAAATATCTTCTTGATTTCGAAAAAAGGTAGATGTTGTTATTATGATTATTATTTTTATAATCTTTTTTTTTTTCGTGTTTATTAAAATATTTTAATTACATGTGTTGTTCAATATGAACTTAGGATGATTTTTTCGATTTGTTTTTTATTGCATCATGAACCTTAAAAAATAAAAAATAAAAAATATCAAGTTTTGAAATTTATGCGAATATTTTAAATTCTTTTTATTTGTGTTGTAAGAATAAAATAAGTTAACAATTACGTTAGTAAATATGATCTTATCGTTTGCATCGAACAAGTAAGACAAAAGACTAGGAAAATTGTAGAACGAAAGATATTAGGATATTGACAAATTTAATGATAATTTTCGTTTCTATTTCAATATAGTTTTTCGACATTTTTTTTTCCTTATCAACTTTCGATTTTTTTTTAAACATTATATACAAAGCGGCCCATGAATAACTAGATAATTAAATAATTCATAATCTTCAATTTTCGTTAACCAAAAGGCCTGTTTTTTTTTCTCGTTGATAGAAGACATTATTGACCTGAATAAAGAAACACATCTCGGACTGAAAGTATCTCTTCTGTGATCTCACGAGGGAAGGTCCCCAACTGTCCAATCGCTTTTGAGTTCGGACCCTATGCATAAGGTAGAGCTCAGTGAGGTATGAAAAACCCCAAAAGGATAACAGCCCTTAGGCCTTCTGTCCCTAGTTATAGAATTTTTTCTGGAATTTCACCCTATGGCATGGTATTTACCAACAAATCGAATGATGATATTTCGGGTTGAGCTTTTACCCATAGACAGGTCTAGTTGTGAGTAGAACGCCCTGAAAATTTCAGCTCAAAAGAATGTTTCCTTCTCGAGATATTATAGTCCAAAAAAAACAGAAAATTCTAGCAATTTTTTGTGAGATATGAGTGATTTTTGGGACTTTGATATTTCGAGAAGGAAACATTCTTTTGAGCTGAAATTTTCAGGGCATTCTACTCACAACTAGACCTGTCTATGGGCAAAAGCTCAACCCGAAATATCATCATTCGGTTTGTTGGTAAATACCATGCCATAGGGTGAAATTCCAGAAAAATTCCTATAACTAGGGACAGAAGGCCTAAGGGCCGTTATCCTTTTTGGGGCTTTTCATACCTCACTGGGCTCTACCTTATGAACAGGGCTCGAACTCAAAAGCAATTGAACAGTTGGGGACCTTCCCTCGTCAGCCATTCTTGAATTTAAACATTTGAAATTTTTAGTGCACATATTGATTTAGAAATGTAGGTCAATGATACTAGCTGTGCCTTAGTAGTTTGGGTTACAAACGAATTACGACCTAATCAACCTATCGTTATATAAGATATCGTGAGATTTTGAGTCCTTAGATGAAACTCAATTAAAGAATCAAAGTCAAATAAACTGTAGGGATGTTTTTATGACGTTGAGGAAAATATACTTTGATATATATATTTCTTACTTTGTTTATATAACCATGATTAATTAAAATTATTCGAGTTGCATTATTAATATGTTTAAATCGATCATTATGCAAAAGTATACCACCAAACCATCTTGAAACAACGACTAGTACATTTTTAACATCTGCAATCTAACAAATTTCCTATATTGTTTCATATATTTCTTTTTTTACTTACTTCCATTAAATGAAGCATTCGACCAGATGCAGCTGTTTCACCATCATCATCACAATCCGCCAAAATTGCATTACGTTTTTCATCCCATATTCTATTTGTACAGAATAATTCTTATATAAAAAAAAAAACAAACAAAAATCTTTTACCTATATGCATACATATTATGAGTAGCATTAGCAATTTTTTTATTTTCTTTTAATTTATTAACAACAAGTTGAACTTCTTCTTTGCTATGTACAGGACTTAAATGTGCTTGAAAAACACTTTTACGATCTTCAAATGGTTCATCACTATATATAGGTGGTAAAAGTGTTTCAACTATTGGTGATATATATTGCTGAACTAATTTAATTGAATTGTATTTATAGACTATGAAATATAATTACACCTACCGATTGGTTCAATTGTTGTAGTCATATGAGAAGCTAGATAATAAAAATTTTCAAACTTCTTAAAATTAATTTGACTTACTTTCGTCAATATTTGATGGTTTATCAACAAAATCTCGAAGAGCATCAGCCCATAAAAAAGCTATTGGTTTACCAACGTTCTCCCTAGAAAAACAAAATACAGATAGAGCCTTAGAAGACCACAAATTTGTCCATTCTTAAATCGATTCGATTATGTCTAAAGTACAAAAGACCTCCAATACTACTCTTAGTTCCTCATTTATTTTCCATGGTGATGTAACTGTATTGGTAGATAATACTTTATATACCAATCGATAGAACTTTTCAAAAGCTAGAAAATTGTTTATTTGCCAAACTCAAAAAACTCTGATCACGTAAGAAACTCTATGCACATTATTGTAGCTTTTGAAAAGTGTTATAACTTGGTATATAAAGTATTATCTACCAATAAAGTGCAAATAACTGACATCAATAATTTTTTTGTGTTACATCGCCATGAAATATAATCAAGAAGATACTTCGCAATTTTGACGACAATGTCCTTCATGAGAAATTAAGAGTCGTATTTTGAGTCTTTATTAATTTAGACATGATTGAATCTATTTTAAATTATTACTAAATGATTCAGCATTCGATTCTGGATGATCGAATAGGAATGGGTCGATTTGTGGTTCTATATGGTCCTATCCCTTTCAAAAGAAAAAAAAAAAAAACTTATCGTCGTACAAAAAAATATTTTCAAGCATATTTGTTAATTCTTGCCGTTCTTGGCCTCTCAGCCATGGTCCTCTTCAAAAAGAAAATAGAATATATTTATATATATAAACAATCAACTAATCCTAAAATTCTACCTTATATTATAAATAAGTGGTTGATCTGTTGGGTAACCATCAACAAATGTTAATTCCAAACTAATTGCTCGTTCAGGTCGATGATCAATAGTTAGTATATATGTTCTTTGAGTATCATTTTCATCTCGTTTCCATTGTTTTTCATCAAAAATACTATTTAATGCTTCAATTTCTTCAGCTTGAAGTTGAACCCAAGTTTCAGACATCTTTAACAGAAAATACAATGGTGAATAGAATAATAAGTACTCAAATGAATTTTATTTAGCAAAAAAAGAATTTTTTTTTATTATTTTAGTAGAAAATTATAAACAGTAAATCGTCGTTCATCGATATTTATGTAAGAAATGATGATGATGATAGAATGTTAATTGAATTGTTTCACTAGAAAATTCAAAAAGAAAAAAAATTTAGAAGGTGTATTTTACAATCCTATTAGAATAGTATCTATGTTTTGAAAAGCTGATGTATGTGAGACCTTTAAGTGATGTTTTGCAGGGATCTCTTGCGCACAGATATATTAAAAATTCAGTTACTTCACCGAATTAAAATAGAAACCCAAATCCTTTTAAATGTTTTACTAGAACACTATGTATTATCTATAATCAAAAGATACTTGAAACTCGAAGTGAACCTTTCGACGAGTTCTCTCGTGGGTTGTAATGTTTCTTGCATTTACAATTTTGTTTAATACTGCTTTAGAATTCATCAGTAAATATTTTCGGACAGAAAATTTTTTTTCTATAAAAATAATTCTTATAACTGTATCAAAAATGAAAAACTCAACTGTCAGGTAATAATGTTGGAACAGATGAAACCGGCGATAATTAGATACTAAAATGATCGGCTATTGTCTGATTTTTATGTGCCAAAAAAATTACTTTGATGATTGATAAATTATGATGATATTAATCGTTTTGAAAAACAATTCTTTTTTCAATTGTCTTTGTGAGACAATATATTACTGATGGTTCATTGATATTTTGTGTCTAAAATGTTTAAATATTTTTGTTTAATAATAAATATTAATCTTATTTTCTATTTACTTGATTATGTTATTAAATGCATTCTCTAATCTTTCTTGTTTTAATTCCTTTAAACGAACAAAGTAAGCATTAAATGTTATCTTAATTTATGATTGAATTTCAGTGAATAGTTTCATATAAATTGCTTGCAATTCAATATCTTGTTGAGAATGTCTTTCAACAACAAATCAATGTGTTTTATTGTTTTCATTATATTTTGATCAAACTGAACTGCATATCATTTCAAATTATTTAATTTCTTTTCTCACTTAAATTTTATTCTTTATCATTGATGAATAATCATTAGATGTCATTTTTTTTCCCCTAAAACAATGAAATTTAAAAATAGTTCATGACTTGTTTTTGTTTAATTTTTATTTAACAAAACCAAAAAATATGAAAATATCAATTATAAGTCTATTTTTAAATGTTTGCTTAATGGCAATGACATACGACAAACAAATGATCGAGGTATTAATTTATCCCAAAATGTATTCTAAAATAAAACAACATATAGATTTATATAGTTTCATCGATGACAAAAGAAAAACATAAACCTTACATTAGTTAGACATGATTTTCTTGCATAAGTTTCCATAAAATAGAGACATGATTGAAGACCAACACCAACAAAAAGTAACAACCAAATAAGTATATTATATGCTACACCTTTATGTCGTGGTAGAAGAAATAGACAAATCACTAAAATAAAAGTTTTTATCATTTATATCGTAGAGTATTCATAAACATGAATTATATATTCGAAATTTATTTTTCAATAGTAAAAATTATACACTTTCAATTTTCCTAAAGTTCTAGAGACTCTAGTTAAATGACATATCAAGAGAGAAATAAATAAAATATTCACAATAAACGATTGCTTATTTTTTTTTTTGAGAAAATTGTTCGCATTTGTTGAACACTGAAAATTTAAATATACTGAATTATGAATGCGCAAAAGCTTAGAACATGATATTATAGATGATCCTTGTTCGTTGTTTATTAAGGCCCCCCCCCCCACTCAAAAATCGATCTCAGCCCAGGTACGTTCAAATGGGCTGAAATTTGGATCATATGTTGGGGCTGATTTGGGGAGGCTGTGGTAAAATTTTCAGCTCGATACCACAACGTTTGACTGAGATATTTACCAAACAAGGATCAAAAATAGGTCATTTTGGTACAAGGATTTCTCAGTCCGGATCCGTCCAACATATTTAANAACCCCAACATATGCTCCAAATTTCAGCCCATTTGAACGTACCTGGGCTGAGATCGATTTTTGAGTGGGGGGGGGGGCCTTAAGAATAAAAAATGAGCACAAAACGACTGCACCGTCCTGTCTTGTGCTCATATCTATTAAGAATAATGCATCTCTTACTTCTCCCACCTACTGCACCCGTTATTTATGACTTTATGGCTCAGAATACAAGATTTGAAAACTTATTTTAATAACACCTTCTGTTAATATTAGAAGCCGCAAGATGAGATATGTTTTCAATTTCTTGTATAATATTAAAAATTCTCGATCATCTATATGTTCTAATTTCTTCTTTGAAATTCCATATGAATATATCTACTTACATCCAAGAACTCCAAAAAGTAAAAACATTACTGGATAAAAAAAACCAAGTGCAGATATCATAATATATTCATGAAATATAGCTGATAAAAGTAGAACACAAATAGCAGGAATAGAACGATTTTTTCGACCGGTTAACTATAAAATAAATAAATTTACAAACTCAAAGCAAATTCCTAAAAATCAAACAATATCTTACAATATAAATTTCTCTATAAACATATGTATAAAGCCAATCATGTACAACAACATTCCATTTTCGATAATATGCTGCAAACGATGTTGAATTCCACCAATCCTAAAATTTATAAAAAATCAATCATTTTATATTCTTGTTTTTCTTCCTTACATCATAAAACATTCGATCAGCAAATCTAAGCATTTCTGCAAATGCATTAAGCCAACAATGTAAAAAACCATAAAAACCTATATATCAAATTTTCATTTTTTTTTTTTTGTCAAATTAATAAACATTCATACCTAATACAAGAAAAAGACTTCCAGGCATAATTGAATTAAATAAAACTGATAAAAATATTGGTAATGTTATTTCTGAATGATTTAAATTTGCATATGTTGGTATACAAAAACGAACAACAACATAATAAACATAGAACACAGATGCTATGAATTCTCCAAACATTTTTAAAACAAAATCCCATCGAATTATTGTATTACGTGGATATTGATCACGATAAATTAATGTTGGTGCAAATAAAAAATATAAATATTGAGAAAAATCTGGACAAAGAAATTTTTGATTGTTTGTTTTTGATTCTAAAAAAATATAAAATAAAATAGAAATATTTTATTTTTAATACGAAACGAAAAACTTAAGTTTTTCAAGCGAAAAATTAGTCATGCATTTACGTTTTTTTTTTATTTCTCATTAGAATATTATTAGCTGTAGTTGTAGCAACTTTAGTGTTCTTCTCTTCATAACGAACCGACTAATGAAAGAACTTTTTCAATATTTTCGCGAATAAATGCATGAGTTTTCATTAATTGTCGAAGCTAGAAATGGAGAATAATGATATGCAATGACTCACCAGGAAATTTTTGAATTTTTCAAGATAAATAGATTCTTGATGAGTAGAACAAAATTTTTCATAGACTCAAAAAGTTCTTAGATATTCTTCTATAGAAGACATGGAAGTTACAAGGGCAAAAGTCTCGCACCCGTTCTTCTCAATCACAGCAAATCCTATGTCATCAGAATTGGTTCGATTTTGACGATTCTGCAATAAACTTCAACAATAAGTATTGTTGTGTAAAAAAAAAACAATAGTGTTTTTTTTTATTATTTACGGTACATGGGAGAAGACAAAATCATCGCTATTCTCATTTTTTGGGAAACTATTATGAGTATGATGATTAAAAACCATCGATACACAGTTGTAGCCCTAGAGTTAAGCATTATAACTAGGTTTGCTCACTGTAAATATCATTTGGGTCTGAACAAGCTAAACACTGTTTGAGTTGCCTATTTTTTGCCGGTTTTCATTTTATCTCCTTTGCACTAAAATGTTGAGAACATTCTCGAAAATGCACTTTCTAGTATAAGCAAAAGAAAATTTCAGCTCGATTGGATGTACTGTGATCAGTGGCGTACGCAAAAAATTTTTCAAGGGGGGGGGGGCAACTTCGTAAGGGGGGGCCCACCATGGCACAAAAAATTTTTTATCACGCGAAAATATTTTTTCCTGTACACCCCTTCAGAACTTTTTCGTCTCATGGGGGGGGGGGGCCCTGCGTACACCACTGACTGTGATTGAAAAGCGGGAGTGATTGTCAACAAAAAAAAAACATTTTTCAAAAGCAAGGAAAATGTTCAATCTTTTTTCAATTTTTATACTTATATATATTCATTCTCAAGGTTTATTCAATGAATACAGTATAGAAAACAAAAAATCTAAAACGTTTCAGTCCATCTTACTTGTTCAATTAAAACAATCAATGAAGAAGCAAATCCTATTTGATGTTTCATAATTTGACGACAAGGTAAGACCAAAAATAAGACTATGTAAGTTACATACATAAGCAGCCACATTGTATCGTAAAGTTCTTTGAAAAAAAAAAAAAGCAATCAATTAATAATTTATAAATATTTTATTTCTGTAATCAAAATTGTCTTTGGTCTGTGGGAATGAATATTCAACAGTTCATTAGATAAACTTAAATGTAATAATTTTACTCAGATTATCTTCAGAACCGACTTTAGATTTGGTTCTGCATATCTTTTTTAATCATGATATTTGATAGAAAAGATCGTTAATATAATTCATGAACATTAATACTTTTAGGTACATGTACGACTTTTATAGTTATTCATCTAATTGATTGATTTATATATGTATTTGTATAATTTCGATTTAAATAATCTCAGGTTAAAATCTCAATACATTAAACCGTAACTAATTACTGTAACCTTTTCTTTATTGATTTGTACGATTATAAAAGTTTTAAAAAGAGAAATTGAAATTCGTACTTAAATGTTCCCAATAATTACACCGATTTTTAGTCCAAGAATAAAATCCCATAAAAACAATAATTGCTGTAGATAATTGCATAATTAACCATATAAAAAGTGCAACATGTAAATCAGCAAAACATTCAAAAATTAAACTAAAATCTAAATTAAGTCTTGAAAAACAAAATATTCGTTTCTAATTTAAATAATTCTTTGTGTTTTTTTTTTGTTGTTATACCTTCCATTTTCTATAATATCATTAATTGATACTTGTATAACCAATATAATTAATATAGCAACAAAAACACTTCTTAAACCTCGAATATGTGATATTTGAAATAAATCTGTTAAAAGTGAATTTCGAGGAATGAATATACGAGATTCAGTTATTTGACGATATGATGAACTAAATTACAATTGTTCTATTTAATTTAACAAAAACAAAGAAAAAAAAATAGCTTCTTTTCTACTGACTTAATAATCAATAATTCTGAAGATTTCTTTTGTTGTAAATCTAAATTATTTTTCAATGAATCAAAATGTTTATTTATTCCATTTTCAAATCGTTGTAATTCAAATAAAAGTTGTAAACGAATTTTCTAAATCAAATCAAATTTTTAAAACAAAAACCTAAATATATCATTGTATACTTCAGTTTCTTGTTTAACCCATTGTGAGTCATTATTATTTGATATAGCTAGGAATAAAATAATAGATTAATCTTAAGAATTAAAGTATTTACTTGCTTCCGTATGAAGCATCTTGAACGTGAATATTTATATAATAGAAATTTGTAGGAAAATGCCAATCAATGATTTATATCTATTGTCACGTTTTATTAGTAAAACTAAAATGGACTTTTACCCAATCGTCACCACTTAAAGTATTTCTCTCCGACGTGAAATACTTGCTATTCAGTGTACCACAAAACACGCTTATTATTAATTTTGGGTTAGTTTTGATTGATTAAATAATTCGACCAATAAGATTTTTTTTGTTCTAATTTTGATAATGAATAATTAAAAATTATTCATATTTAGTGAGTATCGTAATAATTAAAAATGAATTTATTTTTGATTGAATCAGATATTTCATAGAAATGAAGAAAATTCGTTTGAATACAAAGATTTTTAAATACAAACAAAATTAATTAGAGAAAAATACAGTTATAGAAGATAAAAAGAAATAATTCAAAAATGACGAGACAATGAAAATAAACAATGCTATCTACGTAACGATCTATACAGGGATGTCCCTAGGTTGTCAGGATTGAGGAAGAGGATCTTTGACTTAGAAAGCCAAAAATCAATAAAAAGCTGAAACTTCACTAGAGAAAAACAAAAATTTCTCAAGATTACGAAGTCATGGACCTCTCACCCCACTCAGAAGACTCATAAATGTGTGCTATATAATGTCATAAAATTCGAATCAAACAAAAATCATTAATCGATTGTCGGTAATGCTAATTAGTTAGGATTATGTCAACATTTCAAAGTCGAATTCAGAAAAGTTAATTATAAGTTTCATAGTAATTTTGATCTCAGAATGAGATATGTGTAGATTTGTAAAGAAAGAATTCTGCTACTGTGGAGAATATGTTTATAAAAGAATATTAGATAACTTTACATTTAGATCAAGGGAATTTCGGACATTGGTGTCGTTGCCCTAAAAATCGACTTCACTGTTTTGGAGCAAATATGAAGCTATATAAAGTTCTTTTATGTTCGTATCAGTCACGTCTTTACACTCAAAAGAACGCTCATGATCATCAAACTATTTTGTTATTTATTATATTAATCATTGTAAATCAGATCTATTTTACAGGGCCGCATCATAGGAATTTTTCTATGTCGATAGACCGTAATATTATAGAAAGCTTCTAAAATCGACATATTGTTAATATTATTTAAAATCACAGCATTATTCTCCGGAAAATATTTTTAGATATTGTACAGTTAAATTATTGAAGTCTCAAAAAAAGCAAAAATACGTTCCAGGTAAATGTACTGAAGCCGGCTCCTGCGAGAGAANCTTTTTTTGTATCATTTTTTTCGTAGGACTGAAGATTGCTTTGCCTATTTTATTTTATATTCCGAGAGTTTTCCGTATGGAACAGGTGTATACAGATAGTGCTCGATCTCCGCTACAAGAACATATAATCAAATTAAATCAACGTTGTTTAGTTCAAATGGACGACTCAAAATACAAAAGTGGGGCGAGACTTATGACGCCCACTGTACTGAGAAGAAATGCTTTATATAGAGATAATTGTTATTGTAGGATGTCAAGAGGACTATTTCTTGTTCTAATATCACCTAATGCCACTTTATGACGGACCAGAATTATTAAAAGAACAAAAATTGAAATGAAATTAATAGTAAAAGGTACAATTACATGAAATAAATTGGTGATAATCTCATATAAGTTCATCCATTGTTGAGGATAATTAGCAACACACCAAAATATATCATTTCCATACTGAGAATCGATGATTAAACGTCGATGAAATGGTTTATGTAATGCACTAACAACATTGATAGTTATGACAACCAGAATAACAATCTTAGCGTAATAAACACTTTTTAGTTTATTAAATTTGATACCTTGAGCAGCTATGATTGTTCTTTCTACTGTAATACAAGCAGTCAACCAATCATTGATCGATGGTAGAATCGATAATAAAAATTCCAATGAAACACAACAAAAAGACAAAAATCTTTCATTCTTTGTACCGAAGTAATTCAATCGTATTTGTAATAAATATAGAAATCTTGCTCCAAAAACAAGAATTCCTAATTGACTGCTAATACAAGTAATCAGTAAATATCATCCACATCCTAACCCACGTGGTTTATTTTGTGCAAATGTTAGAATAGAAAGTCCATTGGCAATAAAAGCAACAACGACAAGAATTACAACTATCGTGAATATCCAACGAATAATTGGCAATTGCTGAGAGAGTGATTTTCCAATAAGAATCTGTTGATCAAGTAGAGAATCTAAAGAGATAGTGTATTTGGTCATTGTGAATTGGCATTGATCTCCAAAATAACAACGATGGTGTGGGTGTGGGTGTATATCTCCAACCACCCACACCCTTCTATGAAAACAAATATGAAACTAGAGTAATAGATAAGATGAACTTGACATCAAATGTGTCCTGAAAAACACACAAGTAAGAGTACTTGTTTATATAAGACAATTAATTTTTAGTCCCATTGAAGTCACTGTTTCATTCCATGATTACAACTGTTGGATTAATATAAATAATAGGAATTTCAGCTATCGCAAATTGATCGCCTGAAAATCCACCTTGATTTTCTCTACTGGCTGTCTTGCGTAGATCACTATCTGGTATTTCTTTACCATTTATATAAGCATTGGCGATAGCGACAGCTAGAACTATCTTGTTATTTATTAACCATAATTATTCGCGTTATTCAAAAGAAAGATACAGCCATAAAATTTACCTTTTTCTGGGTGTGGGTGTTGATATGTGGCCGTATGTGTGTGTAGGTATGATTCTTGTTGCTGATCTTCTCATCCCAACTACATCCATAGTCATTCTGAAATCCACATACAGTGCCACCCCATCCCCACAAACTCACCCACACCCACACACCCATGCATACAAACATCCCGACACCCCCACCCCCACCCATCCTTTTACGCGCTTACAAGCTGCTTGCAACTTTAGCGTCAGATAATAGCTGATAAGAGCCGTAATGTTTGGAAATTTAAAAATTTCCAAACATTACAGCTCTTATAAACTATTACTCGACGTTAAAGTTGCAAGCAGCTTGTTAATGCTGGAAATTTAACATTTTTAAAATCCATTTTAATAGCCGGAAAGCGCTTTTTTTCTGCTGTAAGTACCGAACAGCGCTTAAAACGTGAGCTCACAAGCGCATATCTAGCTTAAAATCTGAAATTTAAGATGTTTTAATCGAGGTCAAATGGCTAAAATTTTCACATGGGTAGGCATTTTCTTCCCAGGCGAATGATTTTCTTCACACGTGGTCTCCGCTGGAAACTTCTTGATACGTACTTGATCACCGATGTAGGTCTCTCAGTGGTGTATGATGTGATGTTTTTATTGTATGGATGTTATTGATGATAATACACACAATGAGCTTCCCAAGTTTGTTGCCAGAAGTTGGCAGTTCAGAGCAACACTGAATCGATTGGGAATTAAATTGACGATGTCTCGTAATGCTACTACCAAACATCACTACTCTGCACATGTACGGTTTCAGGTTCATTTTATTGATGAAATCCACAAATCTACAGAATATTGTTAGGGACAAGAAAATTCGTTTCACTGATAATAGCTAAAACTTTTTCATATTTAAGCTTGTTCCACAAACGTTTAGGTCTATACGAGAGACTACTAAGAAAATATGGTCGGCTTTAGTGTACATATATATAAGCCGTCGATTAGACGACCTATCATTCAATGTCTGTAGCACGTGCCCCACAAGAATCGATCAATCATTATTGTTACGACGAGGGTTCATTGTACAATACATCTACAAAAGAGATAAAATCAATGAAGATGTGAATAAACATCCCATCTGATTACCTCATGAAAAGAACAATCATCAATCAAGAATCTTCTACCACAGAAAGAGCATTCGCGAGTGACAACAGAAACGTCGTAATAAGTGGGTCTAAATGGAAGACAAGTATTGCGTTTATTATAATGGATGACAAGAAACTGACTGTAATTCAATGCTACTTTGCCATGGATTGTATTTGCAACATTCTCTCTAGATCAGCACAGTAAAAAGTTAGAGCACAAGCTATAAGAATGAAAGGAAAGAAAACGTCACCAGATGCATGCCATAAAAGCTCAGAGAGATCAGTTCGTCACAATAAACACATCGAACAGTCGAAGCAGAAGCTGTCCAATTGACATCTCTAAATTAGATATGAAACAATTTATGTTGTTAGTTGAACAAATACAGCACACCTTAGCTGTTCTCGTCGTCGTCGTTGTTCTTCTAGTTGATAACACAATATCTAGTAAAGAATGAGAGCGTTAGAAATTTGAAAAAGCGTCACACTACATATTTAATCACCTCATGATCAGCAATACTTTCCCATGAACAAAGCGCAGAACAGTATCTGCAGTAGGTAGGTAAATAATAAGCGTAGTTATGAATGCTTCTAAGGAAGATATGCTCACGGTTCGAATTCATGACGGAATGAAAGATGATTTACTGACCGTGCTTCTTCATTGTTTCGCCATTCTTCTACTTTGCGACATGTTTCCTAATGAAAAAAGTTAATGAGGAACTCAAAGTATAAATTGTCGAAAGCTCTCACCAGGTGATTCGTATAGTAATCGATGGAAACCCATTTTTTACAAATGATGCATTGAGTTGGAAGATCAAGAGTACCCAGAGAGTAATCTACTGAAAGCAAGGAAGAAGCTCGTGGAAGACTCAAAGACGTACGTGGCCGATAAAATCGTTGTCGTATTTCTCCTTTGCGTGAGCATTCATACTAGACAGCCAAATCGAACGAAAGATTGAGAAACCAAATTTTAAAAAAATGCAAAACCTCATGCAGATCGATATCTTCCAGCAGCTGGAGTCGACCACAAAAAGCGCAGTGCACTGTGAAATGTAAAGACCGGCTGCGACGTCTGAATTGAATAGCAGTTCTATTTGAACGAATTCGAGAGAATCTACTCACGGAACTAGTTGCCAACGCCAGCTTTCGTTGTTTATGCATATTTTCTATAGGATGATAATAA